AGTCTGTTGTTACTTTACATGTTCACGTAGGTTTAATTTAGCAGATTTTACTTGTCAGCGAAAATAGCGAAATTTGCCCATTGTGCCAGGAAGATCAATCCTGATTTGCTGCAATGAGGTTAATTGCGGTTTTTACTACTCCATCGCTAATGACACTAATTAGCAAGAATTAAAAAAAACAAGTGAAATTAAGTTGCATTGGGAAAAAAACCCATAAGAAAATCAAAGCAAAAATTATTCAACTGCAGACGAGACAAACCCCGACCTCTAGAAATACCTCATTCATAGAGTCCCTTTGTTTACAAGTATGGTGTCCTTGCATGCTTATCAAAATCATGTGTTTCCATATACAGTATGTCAAAGATTCTCAGACATCTTGATCAATTTTATTGATGGATTGACCTACATGCAATTACATTCACTTATTAGGCAAAGCCTATACCTTTATAATACATGCTCTGATCACACGGGAGCTATTTACAGTTTAACTTTGATTGACTTCTTGAAGTTGCTTAACCAAATTGCTTAACCAAAATATTTCACATGAAATTAATTTTAATTTAATCCAACCTCCACTGTATTGAGGATCAGTATACAATGCAAACAGCCAAGCTTGGTGGACATGCTGTTTGTTTTTAATTCCTGTTCGAATGCAGTTCAAAAACAGAGACTTATGGATTGACCTCTGTATGTGCGTTCTGACCCATATCTTAGACATGCCTGAACCAATTACATCCAAACTTCACACATTCATCGTGCATAGTTTTATACATATGCACATCAGTTTGTTCAATGATCTGATTCAAGATACCTGAATGACAGTCATTCACAGTCATAGGCAAACACTTTACAGTGTTAGCTGAATTGGTTGTATCTTTAGCTAAATTATCATGCTAGTTCATTCATGTTGTGAATATACAAATGTAGGAGGTCATCCAAAGCTTTCCCTATTAGCTAGCTGGGATGTAATGAAGAGTAAACAAAATAACATTTGCATTCTTTCCTTTTAGGTTCCATACCCTGCAGGAAGTACTCTGTATCAAAGTTTCTTTGAAGTGGAAGCAAGTCTTATCAAGCAGTCATATACAAAGTTTTCCCTTGCCAGGTATGTACATGTAAGTTGCAGAGATTCTTGTTGTGTGCTTCATACAAATGACCTTTGTGACGTTTTACAATGTAATTTCTACTAGTCTAAACACAAGTTTACATTAGTTGTGTTCACGTTACACGAAGTACGGGCTAAGATTTAAGCTGATTTAGGCTTATCTAGCATATTTGCATTTTTGCTAGACCCAATTACGTCCACGCACATGGAAGGCCAGTCGTTAGCACGGGCTAAGGGGTGCCATTAGTCGGTGACCTTTGGTAAGCCGCTATTTACGAACGAAAAATGGATGACACGCGCTAGGTTCTATTTCTGCTGCTGGCATGTTTCGTTCTAATTTTAAAACGTGCACAGGAACGTGAGAGAAGACGGACCCAACTTATTTGGATGCACAGAAACAGTATACAACGGGCGTAACAGAATACAGAGTTTTATTAATGCATGTCGTAGACAGCGAACCAAATTTATTTTTTCTACGATTGGAGCTGCTGTACGCTCTACTACTACAGTGACCCGATTAGTGTGGAAGCGAGCGCGGAGTAATGACTGGTAGAATAGTGTTGTTATACGAACATGGGACAATTTTCTCACCCAAAGGTCGCCGCAGAGGGCGCTTAGCCCTGGGCTAAGCGTTCGCGCATACTTCGTTAATCCGTGCTAAGGTCTAGACCGCGTCTTAAATTCGGATCAGATTTAACCCGTACTTAGCATTCCTTAGCCCCGTGCTAAGCGTTCACGCACGTTTTCTTAGCACGGGCTAAGGAATTTGACCTCTTAGCCCGTGCTAAGGAGCTGTGCGTGAACGCAACTAATGTGTTGTATATAATTTTCAGAATACATACTAATCAACGTGCAATAAAACAAACCGAAGCCACTGTCTGTAAAGTCAGAAGTGCCATAGAGAAGCAGCTGCTATTATCAAGAGAAAAAGTTAAATTGGTGAGTGTTTTCAATTTCTCAATATAATTTATTTCTTTGTGAAGCATTATGTGGATGTTAAAATTGATACATAATAGTTACCTAATTTGTTGTCTACTGGACTATCTATTGGACCAATTAACTTTACAGTACCCAAGACACTACACCTTGATATTATGTACTGTGCTGCCAAATCAAACAAAGTCTGCAGAAATGTTAGTCAACTATAGATGGTAAAAATTTGAATTATCCTCTGCTAACCCTATCCTTCAGTGCAGTGGAACTATTTCTAAGCTTTCTTTGATATTTGTTTTCAGCTTGCAGAGCGAGAGTCACTGAACTTACAAGTTACATTAATGCAAGAAGAAGTAGCAAGACAGAGTAGACTACTTCAAAGAGAACGGGAATTGCAACACAGATCAGGAATTCGAATTGACTCTAAAGGTACACTTTCATAGACAGACAATCTTAATTTCCAAATTTTAAACCAATTAGTAAATCATAGTTTAGCCAGGGAAAAAAATTGTCCTGCCAAAAAATGTTTTCTGTAAAGATACAAATCACAAGTGTCAGTTTCTGGGTCATATTCAGACTTTCGCAAAATGTTTTTCAAACGAACACCATGAAAAATTAGGCAATGTAGCCGGTGTGTTTGATCACAAAAGAGATAAATAATCTGTGAAATAAAAATTAGAGATTTTCAGGCAAATTTTTGTATTGAAATTGTGTGTGCAGTCTTAATGTAAGGGGTGATCTTATATTCAAACACCTGGGTCAAACCTCAGTTAACCCGGCCTGCCCTTTCCAGCCCTAATCAGACCTACTAGACCTACAATATGCAAATTAGTAGTAGGTTTGAACCTAACTTCCGGATTAACTGCCCATTAACGCCCCTACTGAAAACAAACAACAGAGAACAAAGAAGACAGACCTAGGGAAACCTAGGTTTTTTTTTACAATATTGTTTCAGCCTGGTTTCAGTAGGAAAAAAAATAAGATGCATACTATGGAGCCCAATGTTCATACTGAGTGTTATATTTTGCAGTTTTAAGAATTCCAGCAGCGATTGGTTGTCTTTGCAAGTCATGTAAATGCTAATAAAAAACAAACTTGCATTTGTTTCACAAATCTATTTACATCATGTCATTTATAAGTGTGATGAAAATTATATTTATTTATTTCTGTGATTGGTAATAATTAGTTTCCCACAACCTACATATTGGTACAAGTCAATAAAATTGTTATTGTGAATAATTAGTCAATTTATCTGGAATTAATTATGTCGATGGTTTGTTATATTTTGTCATTAAATTTGAATTGTGATATATATATTGTGATATATATGGTGAATTAATGTTTGAAACTGAACAGGGAAAAAATGCAATAGAATTTTAATGAGCAGCTTCGCAGGACTTACGTTATATATATATTTTGCATAGTCAGTAAAACATGTTTATCCATGGAGCGAACTGGTACATTTTGTCTGCAACAAGTACAGTCAGTTTTGTGCCCATGTCATAAATTCATAGAACACATTTTTTGGTTAGGTTTGTAAAGTCTGTGAGAGCGAGTTATCAAAATATAATGAAAGTATTAAATCAATAATGGCATCATTGTTTTCTGCGAAGGCATCTCAAAACCCGGATCTCAAAACCACAGTCCCTCTATCACTGCGTAAAACTAAAGTCGGCGCTAACATTACGACCACCGTATCATTGTCAGCTGACGGCATTGCCTGGAAATTGCGGGTATTTACCGCTGCCGATATCTTACATTTCTGTGACAAAATGCACACATTTCGAACCCCCGGTTAATTAAAAATAAACGATTATTTTAGAAAGTACGTCGAAGCACAGTGACTTGAGGGACTGTGGTCAAACTAGGCAGCGAGGTGTTGTTTTTAAACACGTCGGAAAATCAAGCACTCAACGCAGCCATCTTGGTTACCTCAATCAGAATTTCTCCTTGTCACCCAGCATGCATCGATTGCGATATCGCAACGTGCACTGTGTCGCCTTGGGCGACGGCCTTCAGTACAAGGCACTCTATGAATAAGGTATTTTCAGAGGTCAGGGTTCGTTTTTTTTATAAGCAGTCTCGTCTGCAGATGAATCGCTTACAGAAGTTCTTTCAGCGCGAGTGTATTTAATTTAATTTTCTGTTTCTTCGTGTCACTGGCAATTGAATAGAAAAAACTGCAAATAACCGATGTGCAGCAAATCAGAATAAATTTCCATGGGTACGCTGCATTTGTTTTTCCGGATTTTGCGATGCCGCACTCCTGAAAAAAACTGTTTGGAAATTGAACGCGCAACAGTAGTAATGGATTGAACACTGTAGCGTGAGTCTCAAGTGCAACTTTGTATCAATAAATTTTCGTCTTCTGATGCATATAAATTGTCCAGCCCAATGAAAAGTCTGATTTACGTCCTCTGCTCAATTTGCAACTCGAGCGTAACAGTTTAACAAAACAAAACAATTTATTCAGCACGCTGTTCACCGGTATATGAAAGAGTGTTTTTTTTAGGCAAGACAAACGGTAAAATGACTACTGCACACCAATAAATCGACACATTTTGGAGACAACTATCTAGTCTTCAAAAAGCAATGTAAACACTGTCAATCCTAAAAATAAACAACAGCTTGAATGAGGTGTGAATGAGATCGGTTCGAACCGCAGTTTTTATGCAAATTCGTGCGGTCATCCTGAACGGCACTGTCTATTGTTCAAACCGCAAAACTGGGTTTTGTTAGGGCGGTTTAGGGCGGTTGGGGTTTTCGTAGGTTTGACCTACATGTTTGAATATGAGATCACCCCTAAGTTGTAAGTTTCACTAAATTTGTGTTCCAATTCTATTTGTTTTAGCCCGTGATGTAATTACCAAAAGAGAACGACTTAGGAAAGATAAAGTACAGATACAGGAACATAGAAATGAACATATCAACAAAAGGTGATATCAGTTTACTGTTGTATGCAATTGAACAATCTTGCCATCCACAAATATATGATTATTGTAAAAATGTCAAACCATGGCCAGCTGACAGCCGGTTTGATGCCTCTTAACTATTTATGAATATTGTTGACATTTGTCACTTTATAATTTTTTTTAATTCACAGGGAGATATTACTAAAATACAAGTCTCAACTAAGTGCCAGGAGACGACAGTTAGTTAGTGAATTATCTTTTATTTATCCAATTGTAGAGTTAAGCAATCATACGCACCTTATATGTGGTGTTAAGTTGCCTAATGCTGAAGGTTACTCAGGTAAGCATCTGCCAAGGGTTGATAAGAACAAGGGCAGGACACTTTCATATTCATGTATTTATACCGGTGACATTGTGAGAGTTCAAGTTTGGTTCACAGTGATTTTGGCCAATAAGTCAAAGATATGTATCAGGCGTAAAATGCAATTGTTAATCTCTGCTGCTTAAATATCCAAACCCAAGAATTGTTTGTTTTAATAGCTTCATTTAATTTATTTTTAGGTCCTTAGCAAGCTTTTTCAATTTTCATCCTTTTTCCAGTTCCAAAACATTAACTTAAGTTGTTTAAATTTAAAAATCATTTTATTACTAACCTTGCTTTAAAAACAAATTTTAGAGTCTTACTTTACCGTCTATAGGAACAGATGAGACAACGATATCCACAGCACTGGGATATACCTGTCACTTAATGATCAAAATGTCTCAGTTTTTACAACTACCACTACGCTATCCAATGTATCACAGGGGATCACGGTCCATTATCAGGGATCATGTGAATGATAAACTTCAGGACAGAGATAGAGAGTATGTATGAAAATGCATTTGGGTTAATATTGTTGGAACAATGAAAACTAATTGGTATTTCAGAGAAAAAATGAATCATTTGAAATAATGATCATGGTTGCAGTTTTCAGTTGATAATGGGGCTGCTTTGTTATGTACAAGCTTGCTTGGTGATGGGACAATATTGTGATTCAAGGGCATATAACTCAGCACAAGTCAAAGAACACCTTTATATTATGCCAAGTGTACATATTGTATCAACTGTGATGTCTACACTTATTACCATATTCAGATTAATCTTACCAGGACAAAGTTTCAATAGTTTTACTATCTTTTATTTTATCCAGTTTTCCTCTGTACTCCAAAGGCAAGGAGAGATTTCAGTTCAACTATGCTGTGTATTTATTAAATAAGAATGTGGCTCAGCTTCGCTATTTCTGTGGTCTTCCAACAACTGACTTGAGAGCAACACTGCCTAATCTCAAGAGTTTGCTGGAGTTGAGGTGGGGAGTAAAGTTGTAAGTAGCATGCCACTAACCCTCTAATATATGGCATGACTATAGTGATAGTAATATATAGCATGTGATATTATTTCTATGTATTCCTCATGATAGATGGAAACATGTACACAGTGTAAGACAAATTGTCTAACTATATTTTCCTGACAATAATTAGCACACCATTTTTCATTGGTATATACCAAATGTTTTTCTTGACAATTTCTACTCCTGTACAGTTTGAAAACTTTGGTTCATGCTGATTCAGATTATAAATCCAGAATTATAATAAAAGTTTTCAAAAATGTAATGACTGTGTGCACTACTATGGCCACCTTGACTTTGTCTGGATAATATCTTTGATGTCTATATAGTTCTGCATTCTAATACTGACACACAAATTACATGTATGATCTATTTTTCTATCATTTGAATTCTTGAAAGAATTATATATCTTGATTAGATTTTAAAACTATTTTTGTAACTGTAAAGGCAGAAAGTCAAAAAGACATTTAGTGTATTTTGCAACTGAAACTATATTCCATGTTTAATTGTGTTACCATCTACCTAAGGTATTAATATGGCAATATTAAAGAATAGACAGAAACATTGTTTTCATTGTAAAACCACATGCAGACTCAAAGTAAAGACAAAAGAATCATCTTTATCTGACTATAGAGGATGCTTGTTCAGTGAAAAGACATTCTCCTTGTAGAAACTCTGTGAAATAATACTAATTTGACTGGAAAGTATGGTCAGGCTCCTTAAAAAATCTTTACAAGAGAGAAGGTATTTGAATAGAATGCAGAACTGAATAGATTGACATGTTTCCAAAATACTGTAAACCCTTAACTTAGAAATATAATAAAGTATTTATTAAATTCATGAACATCTTCCTGCTGGAAGGGATTTGAACTTCTCTCCTGCAAAATTGTTTACAGTATTTCCTTTGTGCAGGAATTCACCCTGGCTGGAGGATTATAAAAATTCAATGGACCTTGGATGCAAATAGCAACAGAAATCTTGTTTTTAATAGCGTTCCATTCACCTCCAATATCATGTATACCGTTTCCCTGACCTATAAAACCATGTCATTTATAACAGTGGACATGATGATGCAATACAATAGAACACTATTTGGAGGTCAAAACAAGTCTTGTTACTTTCTTGTTCGCAGTGGCCATTTGCAACTAAGATCTATTTGCCGGTATACATCTATAATCCTGCAGACTTGCTTCATAGTTTAATATATACATGTATGTGTGAAGACCACCCATTGTTAGCGAAGACAGTTCTTGTAATTGTATTTTAATCAGTACACTAGTCCACTGTCATAAAATTTTCACTGAAACTTTAGCATAAATATACTTTTTCTATGAGTTTGGAGACGCCAAGGTTTGTTAATTAGATATTTTTGTTTTGTTTTCTAAATATTTGTGTGTTTCCCCACAGCCGATATTTTATGCTTTCAAGCTTCCGGATGGCATCAAAGGTGATTTATTTTCGCGCCAATGTGGTGGTCTTAAAACTGAACTTTTCTTGTGATGTTTGTCTGCTTGTTTGTTTTCTTGTTTGTTTTCTTGTTGTTTGCTTGTTTGTTGCATGATACTAATATAATAAATATAGTTGACAAATATTGACAATATTCCATTTTTGTAGTGCTTTTGTATATTTGAGAAGTAAATGTTCACTTTCAGCACAGATGTACATGCTATCTTTCTAGCTTGTTGCACTTTATAAAACATTTTTTGTCACTAATTATTTTATTTACTTATCATTTTGTAGTGCAGTTTCAATGTGCCAGTAGGAGATATTTATAATGATGAAAGTGTTTTTTTTTAAAAAACACTCACCAATGATTAAAGTTAATTTTTTTTACCGTTTTGTTTTTCAACAGCGACTATCAGAATCAGATGACTGTGTATCCTGAGAAAAAGCCAATAACGCCATCCAAAGTATCTAATAATTCTCAGTTAACACAGACTGATGATTTACAGCCGTTAATGACCAATCACTCTAAAATAGGAAGTCCTAAAGTTAGTCCAAAGGCAAGTCCACGGGCAAGTCCGAAAGTTAGCCCACGGGCAAGTCCACATGGGTCCCCCTTGAAAGGGAGAAGAATTTCCGTTGAATCAACTGACTCTGCTTCCCCAGAAACATTTGTACAATTGCATATGACGGCATCAGAGTTGCAAGGGAGTGTGATGTCACCTCCCAGGACACGGAGTGACAGAGTCCGAGAACTAGAAGGTGTTGTAAGCATGAGTTACCAAGGGGAGATAGAAAGTGATGAAGTTGGTAAAGAAGCAATAACTATGGAGGAGGAGATAGACTCCAATACTATCAATTTTGGTAGTAGAAAATCATCGGCCGAGATTTTGTCCGATTCTAGTGAAGAGCTTGACGAGCAAGAAACTTCTGAACTTTATGAAGGTGCTGCTTGTTATACTCAAAAAGACAATGCAACTGTTGAAAATTCAACAGACAATATTGAAAGGCCTAGCAAGGAGTCACCAAGGAGAATATTTTCTCAAGAAGTTGACAGCGATGATTCTGAGGAGGCAGCAGCATCAGAAAATGATTGTACTGTAAGTGTATGCAATAGTGACGATGCAAACACTATTTTACACAATGTTAATGCTCTTGATGGGTTGGATGAAATTAGTAGTCGGACTGATGCACTTTCTAATACAGGGAGGTCAACTAGTTTCAGATTTCAAAGTCCTGTACATCAAAAAACTGGGAATAATATATGAGGGGAAAGGTTGGTTGCAAGTCTATTGTAGCAACAGTACATTATTTGGGCTCAAAGGGAAAAGAAACATGCCTTTAAAAAAAAAAAAAAAAAATATTCCATAATTTCCAGGCAAAACAACGAATGGTGGTTACTAACCTTGCTGCGTTTTTGAGAATGTAAATAAGAACAAACTGTATTAGACAATACATTTTATCACAACCGCCATATGTTTGCCTGGTTGAAAACTATTATGCATGTCAATGAAATCTTTGGTTATTATGAAGCTCATTGTAGTTTTTACAATAAATTTTGTGAGCTATATTCTGTATCTGCCAAAAACAGGGTAATCATTGGTTAAAACTGAAAATCTCCAATTTTTCGGATATTCAGAGAATACCGAGTGGTTTGTGTTTGAAGTAACTTCAATAAGTTATTGTGTGTAATTATTTATGTATGAACACTGAATAGGCCATTGTACGCAAAATACCACTAGTTAGTAGTTACTTTGGTCGGACATAGTATTTTATTTTGTCTCATAATCCGTCTCGCTAGCATTATCATGTGAGCAAGTCGTGTAGAGTTTGAAGCCACGGTTCTTCAATGTGGGCATAATAAAAGAAAATGTATAAACTGCATTGCCAATATTTCTTGTGTGGGCCAACATTTTAATTTACACTGGGTACCACATTGTTTCGTTAAACATACATTGCAAAACTTAACCGTTCAGCAGAATGAACTTTTAACTTTTGTGTCAGATCTTAACACTCAGGGTCATACGATTATCATTGGAACCATCAACTACTCATGGGGAATTTAGCAAAGAGATGTTTTTAGTGGCAAAAGACCGTAAAAATATTATTTAAGTATTGTTTTTTGTTATACAGTGTTAATTAAAATGTAAAAGTAGTGAATGAAATCAATGGTTTATAGGTTCGCACAGGTATATTTTAATTATTCATAGCTCACCGGGGTTGGCGTCTTCAAGTATTTCTATCTGTATTTTCTTGTATTCACACCAGTAACTGCTAAGCAACAGCGATACAGGCTACTCATGTCAAATTCAGAATTTGATTATATTTTCCAATCAGTGTATATTGTGATAAATTACTTGAAACTGGTACATCTTAACATAGCATGCATTTTTGTGGATTGTATTTGTAATTAAGGTGGCCGGGGAAGCAAACCATTCATCAATGCATTGTGTTAACAGAATCTCCAATAAACATTCATGTGTTTTAAATAATAACATAATCATATAATAAAATGTGTTTACGTATTTACAAAACGTTTTATTTTTTCTTGTTTGTATTCCAACTTGCATTTCTATGATATTGGTATGATCTGTCTTGTTGAAATCTGATGTCAAAGTTAAATTCTGAATGGTTAGCAGACTGTTTTGCAATGAACATTCATGAAACACTATAGTAAACTGCAGAACTGTGTTTGACGTTTCAGCAAATGATCAGAGGAAGCAGTTTTTGGCATCCTGACTCCTTCCACAATTGTTTACTATCAATACATTTTTTAGAGTTTGTAAGATACGGTTTTGTTGAATTACGATAATTCATGTAAATTGTACAGACTGGATTATATGGGAAGGGAATTTCATGTAAACAGCACTTACAGTGTGCCACTTTACAAAAATAAATATTGACTAAACCATACGTCGGAGTCCAGAATGTTTTATTTCAGAGATTACATTACACTGAAACCAGACATTTTGAAGCAGAACTTGAAATGTCTGCATAGAACAATGTCAAGAAGCCAGAGTGTTACAAGCTTTAATATCAACTATTTTGATTTGATCTGCAAAACAAAGTGGATCAATGTCCAATATATTTACTCAATTTGAAAAAAAAATGCCAATACATGACCAAGATCTAATTCCAGATTGATAGAAATGCTTGATGAATTTTTAGCATTAATATGACTGCCAAATGGCCATTTTGAAGTTTGAGATAGAGGTACAGGTAAAGTCCAATCAAAGAAAGCTTAGAAAGAACTCCCATGTGCTGAGAGTATTGGAGACACATTAAATATAATTCGAAATTACTTAGCTGAAAACTAATTATGCAAATCAGAAAATTAATATGACCAGATTTGAGTGTAAAACTAATGAGGTCTGCGCAATGTAACAGAAAATCTATGTCTCCAAGTTTAATTGAAATGTGATTAGAACCAAAAAATTATGAATTATTATGCTTATTAGGGAATTAATATGAACAGATTTTTACCCCAAACTAATTAGGTTTGTACATTGTCCTAGAGCATCTTTGTACTAAGTTTCATTGAAATGGAATAATTAGCACCGTGAAAACTCCAAAATTTCGACCCCTCTAAAAATTTGACCGCCTATTTATTTGCCGGGTTTCGGTGTTTTATTTACCTCCAAATTTTCGACTCCACTAAAAATTGCCGACTCATTCTTATTCGAAAATTGCGACCAGTTTTAGTTTCCCCCAAACGAAAAA